TACTAGGAAATGCTATTGATTAGTATATTCGATTGACCACTGCACAATCCAGTCTAGTTGCTCTTTAGTAGAGTATTGAATACCACCGTGATTGAGTACCGTGATGTACTGTAATATTCCACACGCCATTACACATCAGTGAAAAAAATCATCTAGGTTTCGTTGTGCCCTCAGTGTGTTAATCCATAACAATTCTCAGTACAGTCCGGTTCACTGACTTAATGAAGCCACAATATCACATGTGATTTCGTAGCACTGTACTGTCTAGCGTTTTGTACTGAATAGCTACATACCACATTGTAACTCTTTGGCAGTTAACTAGACCGTACTAGGAAATGTGGTTGATTTATACGTTGAGTGCACAATGCAGCCTAGATTATATATTTTATGGATGTGCAGTGGACTACGGAATACCATAGAATGCCATAACGTATGTTTACTAGACCTTTGAAAGGCTATGCTTTGCTTATTCACTTTTGGGTATGGAATAGTATGGTACAGCATGGCACAGTTTACTGTTGTGGATTACACTGTTGTGTTGACTACATTATATTCGTTAAATCTTGAATGTAATTATACAGTACAGAGCAGTCAACTATGCTGCGTTGTATGTATTATTCATTATTCAATCACACAGTCATTCGTTTCTTTCTATAAGCGTGTGGCGCTGCTTGAAGCAATAAACTGTGATTGCTGACTTCTACTATTCCATACTAAAATATGCGACTAATAAGAGAACGAATTAGACTGCGTTATAGAATAGCATATATAAGTAGTATATCATACTATGATCTATTATTCAGCAGTACGTTATACATCTACTAAATTGCATGGTACAAAGCGACAATATTCATTCTATACCTTACTATTCTGCATCATACCTCCACTCCATTGTGGAATGTAGAACTGTATAGAACAGCGCAACGTAGTTTACTGTTCTGTACTATGCTACTCGTTGTGTCTCTGCGCTTCTATTAAATGACTCAGCTAAACTGTGCTCCAAAATAGCTTAATTAATGTGCCAATCTATAGCATTTCACGGCACAGTCTAGCTCGTTTATCTAATAAATCTACAATGAGGTTTAAAATTTTAATATGAAGAATGTTAAACTGAGCAATGTTGTGCCATTCCATACCACATTATACAATCATCAGACGAATGCCATTGATCCATACAGTGAGACAGTTGAATTTATTGTATTGATTGTCTCATTCTGAGATACAGTCTAACATTTTGATGTAGTGTGGTATTTTAAAGCACAAAGTATTATATCATTATATGCTGGGCATATATTTAATTAGTGAGCTTAATTGTACATCAGTATACTTTCCAAATTTTTATGTCGCACAGTTCAGTTCATTCAATTTATTTTGTGATATGAAATAAGATAAGCATTTTAATGCTTTACACATCAAAAGCTTAAGTTTTTGCGGAAGATCTAAATCCAAGGAACAGGTGCAAGGACGGAAGCCGTAGAGACTCGTACCATATGGTAGGGGGAGGGGGCAGGTTGAATCTAAACGCGGTGTAAAATTTTCTTATTAATTACTAATTCCCTTGAGCAGAGAATCCGTTTCATTATGCTGCTCTGTAACAAGTCGAAAATCGACTAGCAAACATGTGATTAGTAGGTGGAGCTTGGTCCTGCCAAAACCCACGATGCTTGTGATCTTGTTTTCAGAAGACTTCGCTTTATACCACTACAGTGCGTTCTACCTAATTGTTGACCGAAAAAACGTATATTTAATCCGTTAACATGTTCATCAATAAAATTATTATCCGAAATGCCAACATGTGAACATTTAGGTATTCGCTGAAAAAGTTTACAAAGGATTTTCATGGATAATGCCGATCTTTGTCGCCTGTTCCACAATCGGCTCTGCAAACGGCGTTATTTTGACCGCTTCAAGGTAGGACGTTTCTTTGCTCGTTGTAGAGGGTTCGAATTGGATAATCAGTTAGGTGATGAGTTTGAAGGCTCAACTGACCTAATATTAGATTAGAATCAGGAGGTTCTGCGAATTGCGTTCTAGGTTTTGCATTGACATAGTCATTGCCACGGGCACATCCATTTCCTGCAATTATTACTACGTTCTGTTCAAAGGTTTGGGTGGAGAAACTGGAAAAAGGACATAGACTGCTGTTTATATTTAGTGCTAATGAGCACGTGACGGATTCTGTGCATCAAAATTTTAGTCTCTGAACCACAACCGGCTCCCCGACGGCAGACTGTATGGATTATTCGTCGACGCTGAAAAACTGGCATCCCACAATGGATTAAGATAAAGACTGTTCACTACATTTCTGTCTCAATATACCTAATATGGTTTCATGGCTGTTGCAAAGCAAAGCTATCTATTATCAATCCAAGGCTATCTACCAACAAGACTTTATACGCACATACGCGCACGTGAGGTCATGAGTAAGGGTACATATAAGCAACAGAAATGACGAATCTCTTCGGACGGTTGTTGCAGTGGCCAAACTCGATTAAGTGCGAAACAGCAGTTGGAAATAATTATATTTGAACTGCTCCTTCTCCAGCTCTGAAGATCAGAATTGTCGTAAATTGTACATGTAATATGGATATCACCGGACAAAGAAGGACTCGAATTATTCTGACAAAGCCACAGGCAAGATAGCCCATGTATCTCGATTGTACGGAAGACCTGACATTGTTGTTCTTCTAAACCCAGACAGTAGAGTTTGTTCATTTGGCGGTGGATCCAGACCACTGGGAAAGCTTCCTGGTGCACCTGCTCTTCTGATTCGAAAGAAGCTGATTGTGGGTTTGAATGAATGAATTATTGTAGGTTTAGATCAGTATTAGTGAATTTGTGAGATAGTTAATATTATTACATAGAATCAGTGTTGTTTTCCATTTCTTTGTCATTGTTGGCCAACTACTGCCAGCTCATTTTTCATGATTGTTATAATTAAAATTTACATATATATATTTGTGCTGTTAGGCTTACGATCAATTTTAATTTTAGAATATTTGTTAGAGCTAATTATCATTACGTCAAGAAGGGAAAGAGTGAAAATATATTCTTAACTAATCGCTTAAC